GCATTCCTGACTTGTGATTGTTTATGCTGGGATATTATGTGATGCCTGTAATAGCAGAGGAAGCGATCTAGTGGTTGAAGATACCCATTTCCAGTGCACATTGCCAAAGCAACATCAATCAAAAAAGCTATTAAAATAGCATGGTGTGAGTTGAATTCTTTCTGAAAACATTTAAAATTCTGTTTTATTTAGGTATTTTGTAGAGCTGCTGTCTGGTTTTATGGAAGGTATTTGGACCTTCGGTAGACTGATCTTGGTTTCATAAATGGTGAGATTTTACCAATCCGAATCAAGAATAAACTTCATGCTACAGCCTTAGTTTCTGGTCACTGGGTCTTTTAAAAAGAAGTAAGTAATTTGTGTTGTATAAAATCTCACTGATTAGGGAAAAACTTGAAAGAAGACAGTCTTATTACGTTAAATGAGGTAGGTTTTGGTATGAGAATTACTGAAGTGTGGTGAGGTTTTGCATTAAGAAAAATACTGAGGACCTGAGGCAAATAAAATTTATTCATACAGGTAAGCTGTTCTATGCTTTAGAGAACCTGATCTAATACACTTTGCTGTTTGCTTTATTGCAATTTATCCGTTCAATGAATTGCAGAAAATTTGTAAGTTAAATTTAACTGTATAGATAAGTAACTCTTCTCAAAAGAAAAGTCATAAAAGTTTTTCTTCTTAGTGTAAATATTTTTCAAAGAACAGTCAGGACTTTCAAACTTATATGTGCACAAGCCTTATAAATAGAGACACTTCTAAAATATGTACTTTAGAAAATCTGCTATCGTTACTAAGTATTTTCTCTCTCAAATATAGATCTATTCCTTTAAAGAACATCTCTCAGACTGTATGAAATAGAAATTTTTATCCACATGAACTGAATATTGAAAGAAAAGGATTAATTCTATCATGGTGTGTATTGGCACATGGTCATTTGAATGTTAAGTCCTCAGATGGCAGCAAGTGTTTTTAAAACAGCACGTAGACTTAATTTTACCGGATGCTTATGCACCCTTACCTAGTTTAGCAACAAGTAGCCCTGGTACTAGGTGGAGATCTCTGTCACTTACTAATACTGAAATTTCACTTCGTTTCTATATGCAGATTGTCAAGTGCAGAAAGACATCTCTATTTACCGGAAGCTTCTATGTGGTGAATGTGCAGATAGGGAGTGCTTCTGGCAGGTCAGTCACTCAGAAGTGTCAGTCTTTACAGACACCAGGCTCTTGGGATTCACTGAACAGAAGGTTAAGTGTGAGCCCACAGTGCACCCTCATCATTACAGATTGTGCAAGCTACCATCAGGGAGGCATTAAGAGATCCCTGGCTTGCAAAAGAGGGAAAGTTCCTGTGCTGCTCCACTTGTTCCTGCTGCAGCCACATCTGGAACATTGTGTCCAGATGTGTTCCACTCCATTCAGGGGGGACTTGGGGGAAGCTGGAGAGAGTCCAGCAGAGAGTGGACCCCGTCAAGGCCTGGATGGGCTGAGGAGGCTAAAGAGGGGAACAGGAAGCTAAGGGGAGTACTAATAGCAGCCTACAACTATTCATAGACTAGTTTGAGAATGGAGTTGAACTCTTCTTGGTTTGTTTTTCTGCTAAAGGAAAGGTCTTATAGGTAGTAATTTATGAATCATAATCAAATAACTCTCAAATTATTCTTGAGTAAACTAGAAACTTGAGTCTTTCATTAGAAAATGAATTTCCAGGCTGTAACTATGTTTGCTTGTATTTTTGGAACAGTTTTGTACTTTTGAACACCTGTTTGGAAGCACCTGCTAGCCCACCAAAGAATGTTCACAGGTAGTACCAAGTACTAACTCCTCCTCAACATGCTCTACTAAAGCATCCAAAAATCATCTTGTCCTTGTAATTCAGAGCACCTGACTCACAGCTGAAGTTCAACTGATTGTGTAACAATCTAGTATGGATCTTCCCATTGGAACAGGATCACAACAAAACCATTTTGATTACTTTTCTGGGTGCAGCTTCCCAAACTTGCCACTGCAGACATTTTTTATCGCTACTTTGTGTTAAACGTTATTTAACAGTTTTCCCACTCTATAGATTTCAATGAGTGAGCTTTCCTTATCATTATACTGCAAACCTGTACATTTTTTGCAGTCATGCCACCAGTGATTTTTATATCTTTTTCTGTATCCTCACAAAACCTGATGATCTTAAAGGTCTTTTCCAACCTAGTTGATTCTATCATTCTATGAAAATACATTGAATAGACTTTGAGATAAGAACAGTATTTGGGGGAACTCCAAGAAACTCTGTAACTTGACCAAACCAAATCCCTTTCTCATGGATAAGGAAAAGCAGCAAAAAGGATCTATAAAGAGACTTTCATTCTCAAATCCAAATCTTAAACATTTAAAACACCTACTCAACAACTAGAAACTTTGTCAGAAATTCAGCTCCCTTTGTGTTTACCTTTCATTTGTACCAGATCTTGACAGGAGCTATACTTTACCAAGGTAAATTACCTATGCCCTCCACTCATAGTTTTTGGTATCTACTCCAGTAAATTGTACCTAACAGTCTGAAACCTGCACAAAATGCAGTCAGGAGGAGGTGGGCATGTTCTGCTTCCCTATGGACTACTGATCTGAAGTCTTGCCTGAAGTCTTGCCTGAAGTCTAGGAATCTGCCACTCAGAGCATTCATCTGCTGAATTTGCAGTGGTGATTAGATCCAGCTCTCCCTCCTCCATGGTGACAATTTTACCCATATGCAGTGCTTTCCCTCATGCTTCTCTTGAAGCCGCTTCTTTTTTTGCAAGATAGTCAGATGTCCCTGGCCAAGAGCAAGACCAGCATAAAATCTGGCAAAGAGAGGGATGTGGGTACAAGCCATTCTCCAGAAGACATTTCAATGTGTTGCAGAGATAGTGCCAAGGTGAGAGCTTGTGGTGCTTGCCACAGCTCCCACCTTGGAGCTGAGAATCCTCACTTTGAGAATCAGCTTCAAATACCTACTCCAAAAGAGGAAGCATTGAAAACTCTTCATGAACAGTGGAACATGCTCTAAGTCTGTTTGGCATGCAGATGCTGTCCTGTCTGAAGCAGCCTTGAGCCCAGTCAATGTAGGAGAGAGCTCCTTCTAGCTTGTAGGGACGGATCTTACTCCCAGAAATGGCTGACCGAGCAGCACCTTGTGTCATTGCTCTATCCTATTAGGCAGCCACTTTGGACAGTTCATTGCTCACCATGCTAGGATCCCAGACTCTCGTCCATTAGCTGTAAAGAACTTCAGGGCATCTCAGGGAGGATCTA